TTCGCTTCGAAAACAGCTTTTTGGGATTTTCGGCACTTATACGCAGTAAACGTAATCAAAAAGCCGCGGTTTTTATCAAATAAATAATTATTACGGACTTGGTAAACATGGCCCATGTAATCTAAAATAAGTGCAATGTAGCCAAAGGTTTGCTCTACATAAAAGTTTTCAGCGCTCTTTGAAAACCTTAGGATAAAAACTTTTAAAATTCAGTATAGATTTGGCGTTACTTCTGAGCTGCTTAAAAAGCCATGACGATATCACCGCAAAGACAGCGTAGATCAGAGAGCAAACACAACTGTAAGAAAGAGGGTAAAAATCTCAACCAAATGGCACCTAAGCCGTTCATGGATTAGTGTTCTGCGAGTTTTAGTGAGCGATGAAAAACGGACAAAACTTTTGGGACAACCTAATAGTATAGTATAGTAGGAAGAGTGATGAAGAAAAGTTCAACAAATTTCTTCTCGAGTACCATATTTTAGGTGCCAACGGAAGTATAGGCGCCGTAAAACCTAATTGCCCGCGCCGTGCCTTGAACACCAGCGTAAGCGAGCGGTCGTCGCGAACGATTGTCGGCGTTCACTATATACCAAAAAATCTTTCTTTAGTTTTCATGTTGCTCTCGTCAATGCAAGGTATATCTCGACGAAAGCTCCCTTCAAAAGCTTAAAAAAGTATGTGTGGAAAGGGCGCGCGCTCATTGTCGCTCGAAAAAAGCCTGTAGCGTTTCGGGACCAAACGTCTTCAGCCGCGCCGCGCGTTGGTGTTCAAAGCGACGCGTGGGCAATTGGGTTTTACGGGGCCTGTACTTTGTTGAGATGACTACTCACGAGGCTCGGATCAAGTCCATGGCTATGAAGAGTTTAGAGTATAGACGAGTATATCTAGTTCTTGTCTTTACTTTTCGATTTATTCGCAAAGAGCTTAGACTTAGTGCAAGTAAATACTGGATTTTCAGACCGACTAGTAGAAATGGTGTTTAGCATCCATCATTCACATTTCTTATGGAGGCGTTTTCGTTCAGTAGTTCCTTTCGTAAAATTTCTCGATGCCTCTGTGCATTTCCGCTCCGCAAGCTCACTCTGTAGCTGCTTTCAAACGTATGTAGAAATAATCCACTTAGTGTACTTCAAGTGAAATATTCTGAAAACACTTTACCTCTGTTGTGGTTTGTTTGAATTTTGGTTCAAGTATTTATGGTTACTAATTTATTTGGAAGAGCTGACTTCTCCAAATCAAAAATCGAACCATTTTATTTGCTTTCTTAAACTCTGGTGTGGCCTCACTCATAGGGTCGCTGCACAAATGCTTTTATACTTTGCCGCCTTCTTCTTCTAGGGGAGCGATGTAAGAGAAAGCTCAAAAGCTTTCACCTGGGCACGCATGGATTGGACCATACGCTCAAGTGTCTCTCCAAATTCGCTTGAAGGTGATAACTCAAAGGTTACCCACACCATGGCTGCAACATGACTGTCCATTTTTCCTCATCACACATCTATAAAGCTATTGAGAGAAGGCTTTTTCTTTTCGCAATGTAGTTTGATCTTTCGAGAAATTAGCGCTTATTGATTCTCATCATTTGTTTTATAAAAAGACAGACTTGTTGAACTAACACGTTTGTTGGTGAATCATTGTATGCATAAATAAAATAAATAAATAAAATAAAAGGGGAAAAGCTGTATTGAATGGCACACTAGGCCGCCGTTTATTGTTCTGTGAGGACTGGGAAGCTAATTATAGAATTTGATAGCTTCAGGGTATTTTCAAAAATTTTGAGAAGCCAGCTAAATACGCCAAAAATTGTATTGCATTCCACTATTGAGTTTTTGTTTATTTTAATTAACTTTTACGAAAGCTAGTCCAGAAACTAAGAATGGAATTTTTTGAAAAAGCCAGACTCAGGATGCTTGAAAACCATGGGTTGGAGATTCTGACGACTAACATCAAAAGACCCTGAACAAAATATCACCGCTAGAAAGAGAAAACATTTCGCATCGAGTATTGCTTAGGAAGTTTGTCTATCGTTATTCTAAGTGGTTCCAAGGCAGTGTCCTGGCAGTTTTTGACTTCCATTCTTTTGCTTTTAGGTCTTTCCAAACGCAGAACCAAACTTGAGGTTTGAACCGAGTTAAACTATTGTTATTGGGGGCTTATCCACTTTCCAAAATCAAGCTCGAGAGTTCAAATGAATAGTTGCAAGGTCCTGGCACGGAAAGCGTCTTTATTTTGCACTGGCGTGCACATTGCGGCAGTCTTGGCGTCCCGCGTCGAACAGGGAAGCGAAGTCATCCGAGCACGCGCCGATTGGTTGCGTCGGCTCGAAGATTGTTTTCTGGGCGCAGGGGTAACATCAACCAGCTAGACTGGGCATAGGTCAGTGTGGTGACCAAAAGCGAATCTGCCTGGGCACTGCCGTTGAGCATGGGTCTGAAGAACGGCACGAACTTTCGGACCGACCTAATATTATTTATACTACAGGCAGTTCCAAAAGTACGTACACACTTTTTGATCGTTAACATCTCTCTCACAAAGTCTTTTGCTTAGCTTCACATTTATTCCGTAGAGTAGGCTTTAACTTAGATTTGCAGCATGGAACTAATCCCTCATTTCCATCATTACTGTAGGAGTACGTAGGAAGTTTTAGCTTACAGTGCCATTATGAAATAAGCCTTTTTAAAAAAAGTTTCAAAAAATTCTTAGAAATTGCGCAGAGCTGTTTTTAAATGTGCCTCATTGAATGATCTTTCAGAGTTTTTCAAAGCGGTTCTAACGTTTTTTATCAAAACTTCAAAAAACGCTGAAAAACGTTACTGCGGTTTACCTGGCATAACTTATGAAAAAATTACGGTAAGTGCAATCTCATATTTATAGACAGCGACTCAATTCGGACTAATAATGCAGTTTTCGGCTCGCTGAATATTCATTTTGGACCAAGCCAAACTGTTCAAAACTTTCTTTAAAGTTCCTACCGTAATCCTACAGTAGTAAAGATAGCTGAGGGGTTCACCCTATACTGTAAATCCAAACTGAAGCCTGCTTTACTGAATCGTGCTTGAAGCTAAGCAAAAGACTTTGCGAGAAGAGAGTTATCACCGATTGAAAGTGTGTACCGGGACACCCGGTATTTTTTTCGAAACAGTAGTTCTTACAATCAAATCCTAATTTTTGCGATTCAGACGGCCTAGTTGAATACTGTACGTGCATCATCAATGATATCTGTGCATATTGGTTTGCAAACAAGATTTTGAGCTCTCAAATTTCTCACCAAGTGCTAATGATCTTTTTGAACTATGTAGATGCTAACTGGATAGCAAATCTTTTATCTTCCTCTTCCTGCAAGATCCACACATGTATTGGATCATTTGGTTGGCATTCGAGGAAAGACGTGCGTATTTCGGGTGTAATTTGTTGCAGGCTGCAGTATCTGAAACATTCTTTGCAGTCAAAGCTCGGGAAATCAGCTGTAAGAAGAAATGAATTTATCGTTCGTTCATATGCGATACGACAAAGAAAGAGGTTGGAGAAAGGGGAGGAGGTGAGGCAAACGGGACGAAGCAAGACGTGAAAAAAAACCTAATATATGCAGTATCTTCCTACACCTTGCAGTACCTACTCCTTACAACTTTCAGTTGAACTAAGCAATTTGCAATTCTAATTCAAGTTTCCATAATCTTCAGTAGTAGCACATACAACTATGTGCTCGTGAAATACCAGAATTTTTTTGGAGAGATAGGCTTTATCCAGGCACTCCAGAAAAAGAGAGGCTTCCCATTTGTCAGCAAGCTCATGGCCTGCTTAAAAAACATTTTTGGAAGGCAGCAAAACCACTGTACCAAGTACCCTTTTGAATTCGTGCGAATTGTGTTACATTATTTTGATTGACTGCAAATAAAACAACTATTGCAAATTTCTTTACTACTGTAAATAACTTTCGAAATTTATAGCGCCTCCTCTTCCCGTCGTTAGAACATTACTAAAGAGCTACACCTTCAGCATAATTGAAAAGATTTATGCCTTCAACTTTTTTATGCCTTACTACATTGGCCCTTTGAGCAAATAATTTCTTTGCTCTAATATCATGTCCTAAAGGCTATCTATCTCTTTGCAATCCACCACAAGTGTACAGCAAGAAAATTCTATGCTCCTGCAACATCTTTCCTCACAACACGTCGCAGCTGTTCATCGCAAAAAAATTCTTTATACTTTGTAAAAAGAAAAAATCTTTTGACAACGCTGCGTTATCAAAGTTCCTGCTTGCTTGCATCCTACACTCTCTACTAATGAATAAAGGAGCGCTGTGTTTAGCCACCTACGCTACCTATCAGATTGAAAATATATTTTTGCAAGGGAGAAATTTACTGATTACAAGGGCTCAGAAAAATTCCCGAGTGAGTTGTTTTTATCTTGTTTCTCAAGTGGCGATATAGCAGAAGTCCCGTTACGTGTTTCATTTTCAATGACTATTGTGAATTTTTTTCTTTCTCGTGATTGGTTGGCATTACGGGAACGGACTTACTAACATCGCTTTTCTGCTGAAATTCATAATTTGATACAGGGATAGATAAAAGAGAATGCAGAGTTTTCGAATACTTTGATAATCGCAAACCTCACGTTTATTGAATTTGTTTTTCCTCTGCTGCTTACTGATTACAAAAAATCAAAAAATGCCGCGTATCGATGTATTTTGGGCAAGAGAAATTGGGAAATGTAATGTTGTAAAGATAACTAACTACTTTCTCTCCAATAATTAATCCGTAAGTGGCGATAAACTATAATGGACTCCAGAAGCCGAAAGTACTGACCATATGTTTGCGGTTGAGTAACTTCTCCGCATTGATCCTATCATGCTTTTGCTCGCTTGGTCGCTCACCTAACATTCATAGGCTTATGCTGGAAAGTCAAGAATGAACCTTGATGTTTAGGTTTACGACATAGATCAAAGTCCCGTTTTCCATGAAGCACATCGTGAAGTTTTTTTATTGCAGAAAGCATTTTTCGATATGAGCAAGAAAAGTACGATCAGTCAAGATTATGGAAGTCGGGAAGAGGTTCACCAAGAAGCAGCTCGATCCAGTGTGGTCAGCACCATTAAGGTTTTTTATAGAAACAAAAATTCGAAGTTAAAGTTTGTGTGAACCACTTTCAGGTAGAGCAAACCCTCGACGCAGCACCTGAGGTGGAGCAGCCAGTTTACATCATGCCTTCTGAGACTGTAGTTGGCAAGGTTAGATAATTTGACCACATTTTCTATGTAAAGAAAAAATTCATTGGCTTCTAAAATTTACAATCGAAGTTATTGGCGATGTTTACTCTTGAAAATCAACGTAAGGAAATAGTTTTAGTGTCTTTTGGGTGATACCGTCGGAAATTGAGAAATCGTTTGCTTTGTTGATGGTGAAATTTTTCTGAAATGATTTTGAATGAATTGCAATAGACTTCTTTTACTAAGATCTAGCTACTTCCAGCCAAGAACTTCGTTGCCGATGCCGCATCCGCCAGTAAAGAAAACAAATTCCCAGACTGCATTTGACTTCAACTGCAACAAATCAAAAGAAGTGATGGCGCAAAGACTAAGTATGGAAAATAGAGATTTGAATTGTTTGAATCAGGACCTGAAGGTATCAGGAACTCATGTATCGTATTTACCTAGGTTCGAACGTGAAACTACTTTCAGACACAATTTCTCGAAATTTTCGGTGAACCTGATCCTCAATATCACAGCGTTGCATGCGTCTGGACGAATAGTTATCGAGTAAGTGAGCTTTTCTCACGGTATGTTGATTTACTGTTTAAAAAAAATGAGTCACTCTTTTTAGCCCAAGCTTTCTCGGAAAATTTTTATCATTTTTTGCCAGGCAGTATATTCTCGCAAACTTTTTGTATGTGATCTAAATGGGAAGATGGCAAAGAGCTTATGAAATTACAGTCACTCCGGAACAGGGGCCGACAAAAACTTCAAAAACATTTCTAAATAGAAATTCGATGGATACGACAAGAGCAAAGCTCCTTATGCTGAAGATGCTGAACTCAATTAAATATCCAAACATTCATTCAGGTGTTTGAAATTACACGGATTTATTGTTACAAAATACTGACATTGATATTCGGTATTCCTGTTGCCTTCCTGGCCGGTTTCATCTTCGCACTCTTTTCCTTCGTTCGAATATGGATTGCCCAGGTTTGTAACTTGGTAAAAGCTTCAAAAACTTTTATTCATGTTATCTAAGTTACAAGTGACTGCTTTAGCCGACCTTCGCTATCGTTCGCATTATTCTGAGTCAACTACTCACTATATGGCCAACATTCGTTATTTACATCGTTCGCCCATTCTTCTACTCCGTTGGAGCTATCTTCAGCACTTTCCGAATGCATCGATCCGACGGACCTATCATTCGCGAAGTTTGGGAAAGTGTATAGATATGTTCACTAGAGTGCACATCAGTATAAGTATGCATTCAGTATAGTGAGAGACTCAGTATGGTCTTTACAAGGTTGTTATTTGCGGGAACGTTGCGTCATAAGGGCATTCAGTGCCTTTTTGTCGGTTCCTATACCTGTACTCTTCCTGTAGAATAGGTAAACTCCGCACGTTACTCTTTCTGAAAAAAGTAACACTGGATTCATTCTGATATGTTATTATACCATGAAAGTCCAGTCCTATTGGTTGTCGAGTGTTTTAACATTTCTTTCTCTTTTTTTGTGGTATGTTTCTGCAAATTGAACAACTAAGGGAGTTGCTGATAAGCATCAAACATTCTGTACACAAAACTAATGTTTTGTTTCTGTTTCCAACTTCTACTTTATACTTCAAGAATTGGAGCTGGATAAGGTCTTCAAGCTCGTATTGGTTGCAAAACTGCGAATTTACTCTTTATCTTACATGCACAGTACAATAAGAATTCGTTCTTTCGAAAAATGAATATCGAATAATATTAATAATAATATAAATAATATTGATAATAATCGAAAATTTCAAATATTCAACAATGTTACATATTCGACTTTCTTATATCAATAGACTGAATATCTCTAAGATGACTGTCTACGATGGACATCGGAAGTCTGTATTCGGGGTAAAACTTCTTTTATAGTTAAAATTATGATGATAAGAAGCTTGGAAATATTCCAAGTTTCAAAACTCCAAAACCCTACTTTTGTGAAAATTGTGAAGGTGTTTTCAAAAATGAAGAATTTATTCAGATCAAAAAGTGGCGTCCCTGCGGGTCCGGTTACTAGATGTGTAACGGGCATATTTTAGAGAAGGGAGATCGACCATCATGCTAGAGTAATTACTTTTTTACCTGACGAGAAAGATAATATCGCTCGAAATGGATTCTATTAAATAGTAACCATAAATATAGCACCCAGCACCCAAATATGCTGAAGCTTTTCTGGAAGAAAGAGATCTACAAGAAAGCAAGCATCTATTCCATCAAATTGCTCTAATGCCACCTAAGAACTGATGCCTATTCGAAAGGTGCATGCTCGCGTACAAAAATATTTCCCTGTCCAGTCAAAACGCCTTATGTTCCCCTCTAAAAAGTTCTGTCGTTTCAATTTTGAAAATTTGTAACTTACTGCCGTCTCAACGGATTTGCTTTTTTTCCCATTGGAAAGAAAGTCTTCCTCTTTGCATTATCTTCTCGATGAGCTTCTAGTAAACATTCATTGCAGAGATAAAAATGGAAAAGAGGACCAATTGAGCTTTGACCATTCTAAGTTAGGTCGCCAAATCTGGAACGCTGCAAAGAAATCTGAAATTGCCAGCACATAAGTTTTATGACCTGCACTATGCATCTGGAAAAAATGTGCTAACTGGACGTTTCTGAAAAGTTATAATGTTCGAGTTTACAATAGAAAACGCCAAAATTGATTAATTTGTCGATTTTCTCGAAAATCATAACCCTTTCCTCGAAACGTCTGAAAAAAAACCAAAGTTTTTCTCAGATGCAAAGAGTAGGCCATGAAACTTGTATGCTGACAGTTTCAGATGTTTCTGCGGCGTTTCAGACTTTTGGCGACCTAATTTTGAATGCTTAAAGCTCAAATGTTCTCCTTTTTCCATTTCTATCTCTGCAATAAATTTATAGTTGAAGCTCAACGAGATACCTCTCAAAAGATGAAGATTTCTTCTTTTTGAAAAAAATTAAAAAGAAGCAAATCCGTTGAGACGGCAGAAAATTACAAATTTTCAAAAATAAAACAGAACAGAAACAGAACAAACAGACCCTGATATAAGATGGAACCTTACGATTCCAAGAGAAAACAACGAAATCAACAACTCACAACACATTCTTAATGCCCTAACGATCACCTAGAGACCGTCAATCATGAGAACCGTCCCAAAGGTACAAAAATCTGTTTCTCTGTCTAATTAAAATGCCCTACGTGCCGTTACAGGTCGATATTTATCAAAGGCGCCAGCGGGTCTCAGTTACCCAAGAAAAAGGCGTTCTTATTCAAACACCTCTAAGAGTACCAGCGAGCCCCAGTTACTCACGCGCAATTCTGTTGCAAGTGGAAGCAAGACTGTACCAAGCGAATGTTTTTAAAGCATTTTTTACCAAGTTTTGCAAGAACGCACATGAATTTACTGAAACCATGCTGTTGCGCAACTTGGCATCATCTCAAAAGCAAGGAGTACAACATAAGTTCCTAGGTGACCCCGCAGGGCAGATAATTTGTGGCGCCGATGGCCCTGTGTCGCTAGCAAGTTGTAACGCAGATAATTTGTAGTGCCTAGATGGTCCTAAACACCGCTGATATGGGCAGATAATTCTGCTGTCTACGTGACTTTACGGGTCGCCAGTAAGTGGGTAGGGGAGACAATTTTGGTGCCTAGGTTCCTCACAGGTCATTAGCAACTGAGTGAGAATAATTTGTAGTGCATAAGTAAGCAAGTTTACAGCTGGAAGCCCGCTACTGCTAGACATCAAAATCTCATCGACCCCATTTTGGAGGGACTTTGCCTTCAAGATTGCGCTGCAAAAAGGCTACATATAAAAAACGATAATCTAACACGAACAAGGGCAGTAGTCTTTCAAGGGAGGATCAGTTGAAGTGGCGAATCACTACAAGATGCATAGAATTACGAAGAGCCTGAAGCGCTGATTTAAACTGTCTTCCTCATGTGCAGAACAAGTCTGAGAAAGAAGTTGAGGACTTTTATTTGAGGAAAATTTGCAAGGTTGAAAGAAGTCAGAATTGCCAACACCTGGGCATTTTGGACTCAAACCTACTTAGAACAGATTATTCATGCTTGATGTTGCTGACCCTTTTTCAATATTGTGCTGTAGCAGAGAGCAATTTGAACGAAATTCATTATTGATCCAATCAAACTCATGCAATTTTTGATGATTAAAATGCCATAACTTCCTTCCTAGAGGCATTCGGTAGACATGAAGGACAGATTGGAAATTAGTGCTCCAAATTCTTTTTAACGGTATGCATCTCGTGGTAATGGGCAGTTCGACTTCGCGAATGTCTCTTGTTGAGATGCATCTAAACACATCTCACTAGTGCAACTTTGTATACCAGAACAAACTCATGCATAAGTCATGTGCAAACATTATATCCACAAAAAACACTTGCTTTTTGAATATCGAACATCTAAAAAAGTTGGAAAGAGCACTTTCGGACAATTTGGATTATGAGGATTGTTATCATAATTGTTTCGTAGATTTCTAGCTTTTTTAATACTCACTTCGTAGTTTTGTACTAGTCGCAAAGTTATGGAGAGAAAGGAAAACGAACCTCGGCCCTTTACCATGCTAAGGAAGCGCTCTGTCACTGAGTTAAACGCTCCTGCAAGAACTCTTTAACCTTTTTTCTCTATATCTTGTCTCTTTTTCATTTATCAACCGCTAAAAAGTGATCATCAGTCAGAAGGTCATGCACAATATACCTCACTTTCGGAACTATTGCTACCTTGAATGTTCATAGTGACAGAAATTCGGAACTCTATATCTTTATAGGCGCAATTTAAATCTGTCTTAACTTCTTACTGTTATGACATAAGCTTTTTGTGACTAAATATCTATCGTTAGAGATAAATACTGCTATTTCATCTTAATACTCAGTAAACAGTTTTAGGCAAAACATTGTCCCTAATAAATCAAAAGACATTGTGAATGGCACACATTTCTTAACAACTTTTTATCGCACTGATATGCATCAGATAAATTTTTGTGAACCTCTTCAGGCATGGCTACTTGTAATGGAGCATTGTCATGCCCGCTTATTCTTGCACGCCTTTTCGCAGTCTTCCTTTTTCTTGAAAAGTAGAACACCCGATTTCTTCCAGTCCGCTTTTACGACTTTTTCGTAGGGCTCGTTTGTCTCGACCCCATAGCATCCTTCTTCAGGATCGCAAACGTAGAAGACGTTCCTGGAACAAAGTAGAACAACAGTTTTTTGCTCCGTCCAAAGCAGTGAACTTATGAAGCGATCTTCTCGCGTCAAAGGCGGCATTTTCCAACCGTACTCAGTTTATGACTTGAGTTGAGGCTATTGCAGTAATACGGTGAAAATAAGGTGCTCCCAATTTCGTTCGAACTGCCTTCTAAGGCCCGTATGCACGTACATCCATGCTGGGGAGGGGAGGGGATCTGAGAGAGGATGCGTCATATCTCACACTACGCATCTTTCTTCTTCTTTCTCTATCTTGCTTATGAAGTATTTCATACACTTATACCTGCATAGCTCCGTACAATAAGTGCCAGATTACTTTCATACAAGCTTGGTTTTTTACCATTTTGTGTGATCCCCTGGGGATCCCCTGGGTTTACCTCTCATTTTCAAAGTGATTTATCTTCCTGAGAAGTCAATGAAAACGTTGCAAAATTGTACTGAGGATATACTACAGCACTGCTAAGCATATTTTCGACAGGAGAAATGGATTCTGAAGATTGTGAAGTTTTCGATGATCCCTAGCTCGCGAGCTACGGATTACGGAAGATTTCGATATTCTGACACTTATTTCTGCTACATCTTTAGCAGTGCCGTAGTGTACCCATAGTACAATTTTATAGCTTTTCACTGAGTTTTCAGGAAGATAATGCCTTTGAAATTGAAAGGTGATCCCCTAGGGATCCCCTGGGGTATCTCCAGGGGATCACACAGAATAGTGAAAATCTAACTCAGACAAATGACTGAAACTTCCGCGAAGTGCTTGCGGAAGTTCCGCCGGGTCACCTGCGAGAGTTCCGTAAACGTGCTGCGGAAGTTCCGAAATGAGGTCCTGCGGAAGTTCCGAAGAATGCCAACCCCAACAGCAAAAGAGAACATCGACGCAAGATTTGAACCTCACTCCATTGACTGTGAGACCCACCTACTATCCTTTACGCTACGGCTGATATGTTCGATAATGCACTCTAGTTGTTGGCGAGGCTACATCACAAGAAAAGACATTCAAAGCCCTGCGGAGTCTCTGGCATTTTTCGAAATTTCCGCAGGATTTTGAAGAAGGTTCTGCGGAAGTTCCGGTGATTTGTCTGAGAATCAATTATGCCAGTAATCTGGCATCAATTATGCGCAGGTATTAGGTATGAGAGTCTTCATAAGCAAGATAGAGAACGAAGAACCTAGAGTAGAGAGGTATGACGCATCCCCTCTCAGATCCCCCTCCCATCCGCAACGGTGATGGGAGGGGGATCTGAGAGGGGATGCGTCATATTCTAATTCTGTATCAAAGCAGTTCTGGGCTGTTATCCTCCCACGCTATTCAAAAGTACGATTATATTATTGAGTAGAGGTTTTTGGAAATATCGAGTTTACAGGTGAATGGTCAGAAGTTGAAGTGGCTTGATTACCATCAGCATTGAAAGATGATTTCCAATTCTGCATATCTACTTAGCGTATTTGTGGACGAAGTTATGGGCAGCTTTATTGCGAAAAAATCGTGCCTGCGAAATTGAGCACATTATTGCACTTTCGCTCACCTTTGTGCTTTGAGATTATAAAGTAACCTAGCTGCATATTTCTGCCTAAATTAAGCCGAACATGGCTCTACGCCAAATTTGCGCGTTGTATGCACGATTTTTTAGCAACATAACGACCTTTAACGGGTTATAACTTCGCTCGCATATGCCTAAGCAGATATGGAATACGGATCCGAAATTATTGTTAAGCTGCATCACACGCTAGGTAGCTTGTTTGGGTCACTTCGATTTCTGACCATTTTCTTGTTAGCATAAATTCCGAAGCAAGTGATATCTTCTAACATCCATCTTTTAGTTCTCTTAAAGGCAGTGCGTCGGCAGAATGAGACCCGTGGCAAAAGAAGATCACAGGGTGGAGCCCTCATAAGGAACCTATGGGCCAAAGTTCGGTCTTTCTCTGCCACTTCTAACCCCCGAAATTTCAAAGCGAAAGCAGCGCCAATCTCCTGTCCTCTCCGAACCCGCCCACCCCACGGACGAGTGAACGGAAGCCCGTCATGGCGAAGACGCAGAGTCGTTGCGGGCCTCATGCTTATAGCATTGCGGCTGGCGCTCTGACCGCGGAAGTCACTCGTCCATGGGGTGGCGGGTTCGGAGAGGACAGGAGATGAGCGCTGCTTTCGCTTTGGAATTTCGGGGGTTAGAAGTGGCAGAGAAAGATCGAACTTTGACCCATAGGTTCCATATGGGGGCTCCTACCCTGTGACCTTGTTTTGTCACGGGTCTCATTCTGCCGATGTACTGCCTTTAAGGAGCAAATGAAATTAGCAAGTGCATCTTCATACCGTGTGCACACTACATGTTCACAAGCGAAAGGTTGTTCTGGACGGAGGGGAATTTTTGGACAATCAAATGTTTTCAAGTTTTAGCTTGAAGCGCTTGCTTCAAATCTAAACCGTTTCTAGGAGTCACCTCCTACAGCTCGTTCTATGAAATGTTGTTCCGCTTCTTTATTTCGGCTTAACCTGCCAAAGTAGTATGTGTGACAGAACTCCCGCTTAAATTATAAGTACAAAACTTGAATAACATGGGAATGATACTTGGTCGAAGTGAGGTTTTCCTTTAAAAATGTATATAAGCTCATAGCACTGATTACAAATCCAAATCTGCTTTCGATATCTGCATCTGAGAAAGGATTTATGGGAGTTTTTGAGGCGAAAATTCATGCTTTTGACTAACAAGGGAGGTCCGATTAGTCTAACTGGCCTTTTCAAATGAGTCTTACACCACTTTGAAGAGCATCAAACGCTGATTCCGAATCTGATTTCATTATCTGCCGAGCGCCTGTGCATGCGGAGTTATGAATATTTATTTGGTGCGAAAAATGAACGCATAAATCTAGGTAAAATCAAATTTTACGGTCTTTTTCAGCGCTCAAATAGAGTCGTGTTAAGCATGAGTGCTTTGGACCGAATGCATTGTTCAACTGAGTGCTCTGATAATCAACATTGGACCATTTGAGCAATTTTGAAGATTGTGCTATTATGCATTTGATTTTTAACTAAAGAAAGGCTCATAACTCGACGTCCGGAGGCGCTCGGCAGATATCGAAGGCAGATTTGGAATCAGCGTTTGAAGTTCTTTATAGCCGTCTCAATTTCATGTAAAATGGCCACTTCTATCACTTGTAAGATTAATGCGGATATAGCAGTCTTTCCAGCGCTTGAAGGTGGTAACGATTGGTATAAATTTATTAGACTAAAGATAAACTATATTGCATGAAACTTCTAAAAGAAATTACAGCTTCAAATAAGCCCATAGGCTACAGTTCCTAATGATTTTTTGTAGTGGCGAATAAAAATTTTTGCTTCAAAAAATTCCCAGATTTTTGCTTTAAAAAATCCTCATAGCTCTCCTCTCAGAAGAGCTTTGCAAATGATTAAAACAGAATTGAAACCAGCGTTCTGTCTATAAGACCGATTAGATTCGAATTCCATTCAGAAACGGCACTTCCTCCAAGTATTCTTTCCCAGTCAGGGATCATGGGCCCGCAAAGATTTTGAGGCGCACCCCACAAAAATTTTAGGAGTGCCGGCCAACGCCATGCACCCTTATTTGGAAAAAGTTTGCTTTTCCCCTGGGCGAAAATCTTGCGACCGCCACTGTCCTTTCCTTTAAGTAGCATAGCAATCTCCCGGGCTCTCCTTCCCTGCTAACGAGTTTCTGGAGTTAGAGATTTTGTAGGCAGCAACAAAAGAAACGCATTTGGAACGTCTAAAATCAACTCTGAAAATATTCCGGACCCCACCCACTTAACACTTACACGTGAACACGGACGTGAAAAGCCTCAAAGAAAGCTCTTTTTAGCCATTTTCATGAGCTGAAAGGCCTGAATATGGTTTCAGCATTACGAAAAGGCTTCGAAAAGGTGAAAGACCGGGGAGCAAAATTCTGCCAGGACACTGTCTTTGCATTCCGCCCAAGAGAAGGAAGGAAACGGAGGAGCAGTAATATGGTTTCAACTACAATGGTGAATTTCAATACCTTTCTTATGGAACCAAACAAAGTTTTCATATGTATTCATTTTTGTCTAGTAAATTCTGCTTAATCTTACATCCCCGCTTCTTCTTCCACTTACTTTTTGTTTGACAGTGCCATGTTGCATACGCCGAAAAGACATATGAAGATTAAGGTTTTCATCGCCTTCTCTGCGAGTACCTGCAGAAAAATAGATACAAAATCAATTAGTCACCAAAATCTTACAGATAGGGCCTCTCATCAGATAAGTCCATCTTCAGATAAGTCCAATACAGATGAGACTACTTTTTTGCCAAGAAAAAACGAGAAAGGATGAGCGGCTTAAAAGCTAAGCTCGCCTGTCTTAAGCATGAGGAAATGCACCTATGCGTACAGCATACATGCGCGCACGACTGTCCGCGCTGCTGGCCGTATATTTCAAAGAATCAGTAGCCCGCTTGCAAAAGGTAAAGTGTAAGTTAGGCTAGGTTCACACTGATTAGTAACTTCCGGAACTGTTGCAGCACAGCGCAGAGTTAGGGCGCTGTGCTGCGACTGTTCCACAACTTACGGATCACTATGAATCCAGCCTTAGGAAGCAGTGCAGATTAGTTGAGAGAACCGTCGCGAGAGAAATGAGTTTTCCTTCTCGGGTATGTCAATGCTTGTCTATAAGAACTTGATGACACAAGTAGTAAGTTCGGTTTCCACCCCATTGCCTTGATGTACTAGGTCAGGGAAAATTTTCAAGTTAGGCCAACTATAATGGGGAACGGAACTTAGGTCCCCTGACAGCCAACTGAGATGTAATTTCGGAGGTCATGAGTTGTCAATAACGATAATAAACACATCTGCAGAGCGCATGCTAGGCCCCGCCTCTATCCAGATACCTGTCGCAACTTAGCAGAGGTTCACCGGGACGCGCCTCGTGATAATGAAACGAGGATTTCAAACGAAATTGAAACAAAGTTCAGCAACGAAATTTCGCCAAACCAAGTGAAAACTTGGATTTAGGGGTTTTCAAGTACGCTCTTTTTAAATATGGAAATCCCATTTGCCTCAAAGCTCACCACGGACCGCTTACTAAGAATGAAACAGGGAATTTCATACAAATTGCATTTGAAAATTCAGTATTGAACTTTCACCAAACAAAGTGAAAACTTGGACTTAGGCGTTTTCAAGTACGCTCTTTCCAAATATGTAGAGAATTTTTTCATAAGAACATGTACAAGGTTTGTAAAAGAAAATTCAATTTTTTTGTATCAAATTTCAGCCAATTCAAAAAAAAAACATACCGTAGATAGCAGAGAATTTCATCGTATTCGCTAGTGGAATTATTTTGATGCTTTACCGTTCCGAGTATCAAAATTTTTACAGTGGCAAATTCCATGAAAAGTTTCCATGAAAGTTTAAACAATTATATCTTTCCAGTGAAATTTTAGAAACAGAGGTAATAGAAAATTATTTCAGCAAGATGTCAAAATTCGTATCGGAGAAGACCATCTAAGTACATTTGCTGAGCCATATATGAATATATAGATATATAGAGATAAAATAATTATATGAAATATTTGAACACAGACTAATCGATGAAAGAATTGAACGCAGTAATCTACCGTTACATCCTATGGACTTGCCTGAGGCTGTTTGACCCAAATAAACTCCGTTTACAATGCACTGCATTGAAAAAATCTGTTTGTGGTTTTTTTTGAATTGGTTGAAATGTGATACAAAAAAATTGAATTTTTTTTACAAACCTTATACATGTTCTTATAAAAAAAATTCTTTGCATATTTGGAAAGAGCGTACTTGAAAATCCCTACGTCAAAGTTTTCATTTTGTTTGGTGAAACTTCAATACTGAATTTTCAAATGCAATTTGTATGAAATTCCCTGTTTCATTGTTAGTGAGCGGTCCGTGGTGAGCTTTGAGGCAGACGAGATTTCCATATTTGAAAAGAGCGTACTTGAAAACCCCTAAATCCAAGTTTTCACTTTGTTTGGCGAAATTTCGATACTGAACTTTGCATTTCAATTTCGTTTGAAATCCCCGTTTCATTATCACGGGGCGCGTCTTGGTGGACCTCTGCTAGGTTGCGAAAGGTATCAGGATAGAGGCGGGGCCTAGCATGCGCTCCACAGGTGTGTTAATTATCGTTATTGACAACTCATGACCTCCGAAATTACATCTCAGTTGGCTGTCAGGGGACCTAAGTTCCCTCACCATTATAGTTTATAATATGTGCATCGCTTACAAAGCCTTGCGATTACATGGGAACATTCTGGATAATGTTAATACACTATGATTGATGCTTAACAGTTCCAGCAAGCTAGAGGGGCATAAAGTGCTCATAATTCAGTGAAAGACTGCATGAAAGTGTTTAAGATACATTATATGTTTCACTGAGTCTTGCGACAAAAAAATCATGTCAGGATCTATGGGTATTATCATCTTAATAATCGATATTAGGTTGAAAATAAGTTTTGCAACTGCTTTCATAACTTTACTCTTTCAGAACTTAGCGCACTCAAATTTTAGCTATATTTAGACTTCAACTCCCCTGGGCCACAATCGTGCACAGACTGTTCAATTTTTGGAAACGAAATTAAAAAGTTACAAAAAAATACAAAAATTCCCGAAGCTAATAAAATTTTGAGGATTCGTGAATTTATAAGCAAAAAAAGCCATTGCAACCCAATCAGGCATGATGACCCGAAACCATATGTGAATTATTGCTTAAGGTTGACTCATTTGGCTCAGTAGGAAAGGAATAGAATTGCAAGACAGGTCGAGATTTAGCGAAGGACACAAGGCTGGTGAGGACGATTATTAATGACTAAGGAGAAAAAACGTCATCCGCGGATACTTCACATGGTAAGGTTGATCGATTTGCTAAACACGAATATCATATTCGTCTGTTAGATTAACGTCTTTTCTATCGTTTAGGTCACCTTATACTGTAAAGACAGTATCTTACAGCAAAACCCTTAGCGTGTAAGTTCACTATGTTATTTGTGATCAGCATGTCGGATAACGCCCCTACGCCAAGTTACAGCCAAATCCATAATGATCACTATGTTATTTGTGATCAGCATGTCGGATAACGCCCCTACGCCAAGTTACAGCCAAATCCATGATGATTATTTTTCCCTTTATACCATATACCTAAAATCCTCACTGCGACGTCAGAATTTGGCGCAACAGCAGCTGTGCTTGTAGTTTACGTCATAACCTAATATTGGCGAAATATGAGTGCTTCATGCTAATCGAAAGCAAGATTATTCAATAAATTGCAAAACTTAGTTTCCAACCCAATACATGCTGTTATCAGCAGTTCCATTCTGAAGGCATTTGTTAGAAAGAAGGGCTGTGCTCCTAACACATCAAGAACTTGTACAACTGTACAAAAAGTAGGATGCTAATTTGCTTCCTCTGTTGTTCTCATAAAGATTGACCGATAGTCCTTCTTGAGCTATTTCTGCCTATCGCGTATCGCCTGAAAGCACTCGAAACTGACAAAGCATTAGGCTCGTTTTTTCATCTTCAGTTTTTTTGCATTCGCAAAAAAGCATCTTCATTTTGGTTTTTTGCTTTTACTCAATCTATGTTCGCGAGAAAAAACAGAGGTGATTTGATATCTTTCTTGCAAGGAACGATGCGGTTGTTTTGGTATATGAGTAAATAATGGTCCGATCCTGTCAAGCTTTGTACGTAAGTGTCAGCTTCTCTTATAGCTTCCTGAACCGAGAATCTTTTTCGATCAATGCTCATCGAAAAGGGGTGAAACCCGACTTTATTCACATCATGAATATATTCACAGACAAATGCAGACCACTTCAACACCTTCTGTTTTCAGTAAAAAAAGGAGCTTTCGCTAAGACAATTCACCGGAACTTCCGGGGACAAGCATAATTTGCAGCAGTTCCGCAGCACTTTCGTAACCAATGAGAAAGTGCACAGCTCACTATGCAGGGTTTCCACAGGATATTGATGTCAGAGCGATCGTGAACCAGAACTTCCGCAGGACTTTCCATAGAGCGTGCGAAAATGCAATAAAATCGCAAGGTTTCCGCAGCACTTTGACCTGCCAGCATTTCCGCAGGAATTTGAGGGAGCATGTGCTTACAATTACGAGGCAGCAAACGCATCTTTAGCAATAAAGCGCATAGCCCATTCCTCTTTTCTTTCATACTGTTTCACTTCTGTTCCTGTTCTTTTCTTTTTCTTTTTCTTTTTTCTTTTGGCGTAAGTAGACCTATTATCCATATTCTAAGTATTCTTGCAGGCATCGGTGCGAGTGTGTGAACAACCATCACCAAGTTGCTGGAATAGGACTCAACGGAGGGACTTTATTTGAGCACTTATAGCTCTTATTCATGTATGCCCATTTTCTTTGCTTTCTTTACTTTGATTGGAGTAGTAACCCAGATAATTTGAAACTAATACTTTTTAGAAAATATGTATTGGATGTTTAAACAAAGCAGAAGTAATTTGGTAGAAGTATATCAAAACAAAGGGGATATAGGTCACGAAATTCCTTAAAAGTGATCTACAAGCTTTTGGTGAATGATTTTTGGAAATTTTCAGGATTTAACGTAGTTGTACAATTTTCGATAATGTGCTGAAAATCGCGTGGGTACATGGATTGGGACAGCAAAACTGCAACCATTCCTGAATTTTCTTTTGCTAGAAGTGGCTACACGCCCGCACCCAAAAGTTTCAGTCCCTCCCTCCCCCTCCCTTGAGAAAATTTCTCGCACCACTGCTTCGTGTGCCTATCTTTTTCTTCTACTCTCTGCTTTTGATGTTCTCAAAGCCTTTCCCTTTCACAGTACCGCACACATTGCAAAATAATAATTTTTGTGTTGAAGATCGAAAGGATTTGAAAGTACCCTAATTTCACACGTACAAGGCGCACCTTTTTCGATTTTTCGATTAAGCCCCTCAACCGCTTCAAATTATTTCGGAAAGCGATCCTTATGCCGTACGATTCTCTTAAGCAATATACATCAAGGCATAGGGTCCCTTGGTTGCGAAGTTCTTTGGCGTATTTGGGCTGGTCGATTTTGTAAAAAAATCCCCCGCGCCTTGTACGCGTGAAATTAGGGTTATCTAATTGAAACAAGAGCTCAAGATATCCGTACTTTTTACCTATTATAATAATACTGGATAATCTTTAAACAAAATAGAAGTAATACGGTAAGAA